CATGTTTGGCAACATTGGCTGTTCTATTTTTCTTTTTAATTATACAAAGAGAAGTCCTGGAAATGGCTCAGCCCTAAGCCTAGGGTAGAGGAAGGGGGTGCAGGGAGCTGGGGAGGCAAGGAAAGTTTGGCAGCAGCAGTTGGAGACAGAGATACCAAATGAAAAATGCAGTGGATTTGAAATCCTCGGAGATTTCAAACTTCCAAACTTGCAAGTTCTCTGACAGGTTGTCGTGGAGACCAAACTTCCCACTATCTTGTGGCCAGTCCTGACTCGGGACTTCTAAAAGGAGACTGACGGCCTCACCAGCTCAGAACGGATAGACAGATGGACACGTGTCCAAGATAAAAATATCAACAGCACCAGCGCCCTACCTGGACCTTGAATTTATTCTGGGCCTCTGTCCTCCTCCCGCCTCTCACCCTCTGGGCAGGAAACCGCCAACTGCCCAGTTCATTCTCTGTGACCTGTGCCACCCTGTACACTGCTCTAAGACCACCATCAGCCCCATGGGAAACCGATGACCTCACATTCAGTGGGTGTTGAGCTGTGTTAAGTACCTGCACCTAACCTTATCTTTTAAGTTCACATTTTCATGATTTTTTAAGCTCTCTCATATTTTTCTTAACAAAGAAGTCCTTCCTTCCTTCTTTGTTTCTTTCCTCCCTCCTTCCTTCCTCTCTTAAAAATTATTTATTTGAAATGCAGAGTTACAGAAAGAGAGGGAAAAACACAAAGAGAGATATCTTATTGTTTTATTCCCCCAAATTGCCATGACAGACAGGGTGGAGCCAGGCCAAGTCCAGGATGCTTGAACTCCATCCAGGTCTCCTGCATGCATACAGGGACCTAGCCATCTTCTGCTTTCCCAGGCAGATTAGCAGGGAGCTTGATCAGAAGTGGAGCAAGTGAGATGCAAACCAGTACCTATTTGGGATATTGGTGTTTGCAAGCAGCAGCTTAATGTGCTGTGCCAAAGTGCCAGACCCTGGAAGAACTGTGTCTCTGTCTTTGACTCTCTGCTTTTCAATTAAAAAAAAAAGTAAATCTTTCGTAAAAATGAATATGAGATGGATCACAGACCTTAACCCTCATGCAAAAAAAAAAAAAAAAAAAAAAAACTGGAAAGCTCCTAAAAGCAAAGACAGGCGAATATTTTCATGACCTTGAGGCTGGCAAAGATTTTTCACCCAGGACACAAAAAGCACAACCCATAAAAGGAAGGATGAGGGTAAACATGCAGACATAGCCAGAGCTCTGCCTGGGGGTGGAGTAGAGCCCTGAAACCCAGTCAGTGGGTAGCACTGCCCCAGCAAAGGTCCCTATGCCTCAGTCCCAGACAGTCCCTCAGACCAACCTGAGTCCAGCAACCCTGATTCAGAATTTGCAAGTTCCAGCCTCCTTCCCCCTAGTTGCTCAACTAAGAAGATGATCAGTCAGTACGGCTGCCTTCCAGATGGCTGTGGTGCTGGCATGCATGCTGTGTGACACACAGAGGCACTCGCTCCATAGAAGGCCATCTTTCAAGTTACTACTAGAAATAACCACTCCAGACATACACAGCTTCCGGCAGGAGTGAGCTTCCCATCACAAGTGGCATACAAGGCCTGTCCCAGAAAGGCATGAGCATAAAAAAAAAAATAGTGGCTCTTTTTTTTAATATGAATGAAGGGTTCTAAACTTTAGAGACACCAGAGCTGAAAGTGTGGCTGGGACACAGAGGGTGCAACCATGATGAGCTCTCACAGCCTTCTCCTCAACTCCAATGAGACAGGTGGCTTCCCTGAGGGAGCCTTGTGGCACAGAGAGGGGACCAGGGACTCCCCTTGAGATGGACATCAGTTTCCTCCCTGACAACCTGTTTGAAACAATGTCTGAGTGACTAAGAGGACTGGGAGCCCACAGAGGCAAAGCGATTTGCCCAAGATCACACTAGCGCTAAGCAGCCAACCTGAGGCAGTGCAAAGGCTGTGAGTACTTAAGGACAAATGACCGCCCGGCCCGGCCGGTCTCAGGGACACAGAGACGAATGAGGGGGCAACAGTGAAATCCCAGATCCACCCACCCACCGACGGGCCTAACCCTATCCTGGGACTCATCCAGGCCTCATTTTTCTCATGTGTAAAATGGTGAAAATAGGGATATTGATCCTGACAAAAGAACATTTCTGGGATGTTCAATAATCACAAGGGCCTGAAATTGGAGATGAAGAGAATTGGCTGAGATTAACCAGCTAAGCACTGCACAAAAGGCTCTGTTCCTGAATGTGTTAAAATCTTAACTCAAAAAAATAATAATAAATACAAATCTTTAAAAAAAAATCTTAGATCTCGGGAGGAACCACTGTGAACAGCCACTTAGGACGAGACACCCACAAGGGACAAGTGCTTCAAGGACTGCCCTCTTTCCGGCACTCTCATCTTCAGCCATGGAAGCATGTAGCTCTCCATCCCTGCTATCGGCAACCCAGTGCTGTGTGCAGCCAGGAAAGCTGCTGCTACTTGTAACAGCAGTCTCCCTTAGGGGCACCAGTCAGGACTGCTCCACTTCCCATCCAGCTCCCCGCTGGCGCACCTGCAAGAGCAGCCAACAACAGCCCAAGCCCTAGGCCCCTGCTTCCATGTGGGAGACCTGCAATAAGCTCCAGACTCCTGCCTTTGCCCTGGCCATTGCATCTGGAAAGTGAACTCATTTGGAGAGTAAACCAGCTGATAATCTCTCCCTCTCTGTAACTCCTCTAAATAAATAAATACAGCTGGAAAAAAATGTGCTATTACTTCTATGTCCAGCATCCGTCCATCTCCCCTACACCCCCAGGGATTGCAAGTCCAACTGAGCTCTGACCATTGCAGCCACTTGGAGAGTGAACCAGCAGAAGGAAGAGCTTTCTCTCTCTCCTCTCTGTAGATCTGCCTTTCCAATAAAAATAAATAAGCATTTAAAAATATAAATAAGGGCCTGGTGCAGTAACCTAGTGGCTAAAGTCCTCACCTTGCACACATCATGATCCCATATAGGCACTGGTTCTAGTCCTGGCAGCCCCACTTCCCATTCAGCTCCCTGCCTGTGGCCTGGGAAAGCAGTCAAGGATGGCCCAATGCCTTGGAACCCTGTACCCATGTGGGAGAACCAGAAGAGGTTCCAGGCTCCTGGCTTCAGATTGGCTTGGCCCCAGCCTTTCCTGTCTCTCCTCCTCTATATCTGACTTACCAGTGAATAAATAAATAAATAAATCTAAAAAAAAAAAAAAGTTGGCCTGGCATGGTGGCCTAGCGGCTAAAGTCCTCACGCTGAATGCGCCAGGTCAAGTCCTGGCAGCTCCACTTCAGCACTTCAGATCCAGCTCCCTGCTAATGCGCCTGGGAAAGCAGCAGCAGGGGTCATGCCTTTGGGCTCCTGCATCCATGTGGGAGGCCATGATTAAGCTCCTGGCCCCTGGCATGGAGCCTAACCCAGCCCCGGAGGTTGGGGCCATTTGGGAAGAGAATGAGCACTCTTTCTTTCAAACACAAACACACACACTCGTTTAAAAATAGCAAGTCAAAGACAACTAATGGGGTGAGACTGTAAATTCCAAGATCCAAATTTTCATAAAAGCACCAAGAAATTCCGCTGGAGGAATCTCAGAAACTTTCATACCATGAAGTAGCTGGGTGGAGGGGGCGCCCTCCAGTGGCAGCAAAAGTTCCATGTCGTGCTGTGGACCCGAAAAGCCACATGCTTGTGATCTGACTATGGGCGCCCTCCGTCACCGGTCTCTTACATTTTGCACGCATCCACCGTTCACTGAATTAAGAGTATGCGCCAGGCGGTGATGGGATAGTGGGCCTAGAGCTGTGAACCCGGCAGTCGAGGGGTCAGCTCTCAGCGCCCTCCTGACTTGTGCAACTTTGGACTTGGAATGTTCTGGCTCAATACCCCTCAGGCTCTGCATTTGCAGCAGCCTCCCCCGCCCCCACTTTAAAAAAAAAAATGTATTTATGTTGAAAAGCAGAGTTGCAGAAAGACTGGCAAAATCAGCTTTCATCAGTACACTGTCCATACGGCTGCCTCGGAGACAGCTGGACTGTCCCCCATGCGGGTACAGGGGCCGAAGCACCCGGTCAGCTGCTGGCCCGGGCGCATTAGCAGGGAGAGGAATCGGTGGCTGAGCAGCCCGCCCAAGACTTAACTGGCTGCACCACAACGCTAAGCATCGGCCCCCTTAGCTCGCACGAATCTCCCCTCGACCAGTCAAGTATGGGCTTCCCCTCTTCCAGACACTCAAATCACAAGATTCCTTAAAAAAAAAAAAAAAGAGAGAGATTCCTGGAACCCCTCAGGTCAGCACCTAGCAGGCGTCCGTCGAAGGGCACCTGTCCTCCTGAACTCGCAGCCCCCCACACCACCAGGCCCTCGACCCCATTCGTGTCTTCCAAAAGGTGACCAATGGCCGCCTTTTTCGTCGTAAGAATTCACTCCCCGGCGTTTGCCGCGGTCGCCAGAACGGCAGCTGCCCCGTGTTCCCCACCCGACCTGCCCTCGGCGCCACACCGCTGTGTGTACACCCACGAAGCGCTGGTTCCAGCGAATTCTGACTGAATCACCTCACACCTCAGCCTGCTCCCTTCCCTCCACACCTGGCGCCACCCTTTCCAAAGGGAGACATGGGCCCCAGGAGGCGCATAGAGGTGACCTCAGGCGGCCCGACCCAGGCGTCCGGACTCCGGGAGCAGAGCCATAAGAGCAGCTGCGGAGATGGGAGGCGCCGGAACCGGAGCGCGAACGCCGAGGCCTTCGGCCATGAGGCGCTTCCTGGAAGAGGGAGGGCGCGGACGGTGGGCGGAGCCGGCGGGACAGTCACGTGGTATTCTCCACACACGCCCCCCCCGTCTCGGGCGGGGCTACTAGACGGGAGGGACGCATGCAAATAAGCCTGAGGCGGCGGGCCAATCGCAGCGCGCGCCGAGGGTCCCGGTTCTCGGATCGGGACGCCGGCCCCGCGCGCCGCCCCGGGGGCTTTGGCCTGCGGCGCAGCGGGGTCTGCTGGCTGGGGCCGCGGCTCGCGTCCTCGACTTCTTTTTTTCCGTCCCGCGCGGTCGGGCGGGGAGCGGCCCGGCCCTCGTGCTGGGGCAGGCGGAGGCGCAGCGCGGGGCGGGGGCCGCTGCCTTTCTGCCGGCGTCCGGACCGGCCCGCGCCTTCGCAGCGTGTTCCCTCCATGCATCCGGAGCCCGCCCCGCCCCCGAGCCGCCACAGTCCGGAGCTTCCCCTCAGCAGCGGCAGCACCACCAGCGGCAGCCGCCGGAGCCGCCGCAGCGGGGACGGGGAGCCCTCGGGGTCCCCGCCGCCGCCAGCCGCCGTCAGCTACCCGGACTGGATCGGCAAGAGTTACTCCGAGGCGATGAGCCTCAACGAGCACTCGATGCAGGCGCTGTCCTGGCGCAAGCTCTACTTGAGCCGCGCCAAGCTCAAAGCCTCCAGCCGGACCTCGGCTCTGCTCTCCGGCTTCGCCATGGTGAGCCCGGGCCGCCCTGCCCTGCCCCCTCTCCTGGCCCGGCCGCTCCCGTCCCGAGCCCCGACGGGGCCCGCTGGGAAGCCGGGGCGGGCCGGGGGCCGGAGGGTGGTGGGGGAAGCGCTGGGAGACGCTGGAAGGGGGGCCGGAGGCACTCGGCTGAGGCAAGTGGACCACCGGGGGTCACCGGCGTGGCACGGTGACAGGAGCCCCGACTGTGGGGCTCAGGTGCCTCGACTAGGGCACCGGGAGAAAGAGACCCGACGAGAACGGTGCAGCCCCCGTGTGGTCAGGGCAGAAGGCTGGACCCAGGGCGGCTGGCCCATTGGGGAACAGGTGTCAGGAGGCCTGGATGAGAACTGAATCTCCCCTCACGCCCCATCCCCCGTCCCTGGGACTTGCGTGGGGACGCCCACACTCGGTTCTTTTATCAGCTAGTTGAGGCAATTTCCTGACACCCCATTTTTACACCGCATTTTCCGGAAAGCCTCCTCAGCCCGGGAATTTGACAGCCACTGCCCCCTGGATGTGAGTGCGCCTGGGATGGGCTTTGACGACAGGTCTCCCCTGTCTGTAGCGGCAGGATTGAGAAGCCCAAGGGTGGGGTAGAACAGAGAGGAGTGGCTCCTGGGACACCTCCAGGCCTCGGGCTAGCAGCCTAACCTCTTCATTATCCACTGGCAGTGACATCAGCCGGCCTGAAAGGGTCTGTCCCTGCCTGCCCCACCCCCCCAAGATATCTAGCCTGGAGCCTCCCTGCCTCCCCCTTAGTGAGCTGAGCCCTTGGCCTTGAGGAAGGGAGTGGCTGCACCCAGGGTGTTTTGTTGGGAAAGGAGTCTCTGTGTGTGAGTGTGTGTGTGTGTGAGTGTGTGTGTGTGCTGTGCAGCCTGAAGGTGTTGGAAGGCCCAGGGTGTCCTGGGACCTCGTGGGGGCGGGAAGGAGAGGCTGGGAGCAGCCCTGTGCGCCCTGTCTGGCTGCGCCCTGCCCTGCCTCTGGCCACCTGCCCCTGGGGCCTCCCTCCGGTCTGTCCCTTTCTGGATCCTGATTTCTGTGGGAGTCCCTCAGAGAGGATAGTGTTAAAGGGTTTTAGTTTAGGTTCGAGTGACAGAATCCTGTTACTTAGTCCCTGATCTAAAAAGCCTGAACTCTGAGCATTGCCAGCATTTTCCAAGCCCTTGCCATGTGCAGGCTCTGGGTGGGTTTCTGAGACTGCTGTGCCCACTCCTCCACCACACAGTGATGCAATTTTCTCTCTGAACTTATTTCCCAAGGCCACATAGCTAGCTGCTGAGGTGGGACCTGAACAGGTACCTGCTGGTACCAAAACTCAGGGAGTTATGTCCCTTGGGCGTGCTGAGCTGTGCTCCCAGTCCAGCCAGGGATATGTCAGGGCTAGGTCTAGAGAAGGGGAATAAATAGAGCTCCAAGCGTTCTCCTAAATCCGTGAGAGCTTTCCTTACAAGTTGAGTGAGTCCCTGCCGAGCTCTGGGTCTCACTCGGATGGTAAGCCTTTTCCTGAGCAGCCCCGGGAGGATCAGAGTGGTGACACTTTTGCTGCCTGCTCAAGTATTCTCTTCCTCCTGCACGAGGCAGGCCTCCCAGTCAGATGTCACCTCCTTCCTCCTCTTGCTAAAAACAGGGCACGGAAGTCAGGAGGCACGGGCAGCTGATGGCCTCAGGTGGACCCTGGGTCAACACTTGGCTTTCGCCCTCAACTCAGGCTTTCTGGCTCCCATGGTGGGGTCCCCTGGATTCAGCAAGATGAGAGATATTGTACCGTCTCCTGAGGCAGTGGTTATGGGGGTGCCTGGCATTGCCATAGGAAGTCAGAAGATGGGGTCGGAGCAGAGTGGGAGGTCGGTGGGGCAGGGCCCTGGAGGTGCAGCCCCACCACAGACGCTTGCCTGGGCGAGGAGGGGCAGTGGGAGTCAGACAGCCCTGGAGCCGTGACAGCAACAGGTTTCCTGGATTACTCTCCCCCTACCCTGTGATTCAACACAACCAACTTCCTGTGCCCAGCAGGCTTCCTTCCTAGAAACCAAGAAATAAAACCCCAAGGAACTGTTGACCTGGGGTCTCCAGGAACCCTTGAGCAGAATGAGGGGTTCCTGTACTGTGCTGGGAAAGGGCTGGCCAGGTGCCCAGGCAGCCCTGGGAAGGGGCCAGGAGACCTCTGGCATGTGGCCTTGTCTCCTTAGAGCCAGGTTCTACCCTGGACTTGCTGTGTGAGCATTCTTGAGTGAGACTGAGTTCTCAGGACGTGATGACGTGCTCCTTGGCTGGACCCTGTGTTCTCCGGGACCAGCAGGAGGGTCTCAGCTTGGTCAGTAAGCCCTCTAGCACACGACACCAACTGTAGACCCCCAGGTCTAGCATGTGGTCAGCATCCTGCAGTCCCCTGCTGGGCTTTGCTTCCAGCCCTCTCTGCCTCAGTTAACCTCCTGACATTAGACAGCCAGCCTTAGCCTGACCCAATGTGCCTTGTGGGGAGCACCTGTGGGGCACGCAGGCTGTAACGTTAGCCTAAGCAGAAGATAATTGGGAAGGTCTGCCTATTGCTGTAAACAAAATGCTTACCGTGACCTAGACTCAATTATTTTTGGATTATCTGCCTCAAGTTCTCTGCCCACCAGCACCCTTTGGTTCCCAGGGTCCAGAGCAGGTTCAGGAGTTGACTGGAAATTTCTGTCAAAATCCGCTGGAAGGAATGCTGCGATCCTAGAGCCTTGGTGAGCCTCTGAGGTGGATCAGAGTTCAGGGAGTGTGGCGAGAACAGGAAACTGCGTGTACATGTGCTGCCCAAGCAGTTGGCATTCACTGCTGTTGACTGGCCCCTCACTGCCACGGGCACGGGATGCACCCTCTCGTGTGTGGCCTTCCTGCAGCCTGGTGAGGGGTGGTGGTCACCGTGGATGCAGGACTTGCCCAAGGTCACCTGCTGGACAGCTATGACCATGCTGTAGGCCTCGCTGTGGGAAGGAACCATCAGGAGGGCTTAGAGGTAGCGCTCAGAGGCTCGGGTGTCACAGACCAGCGCAGAAGTGGGGCTCAAGCCAGCCAGCTTGGCTGTCCATCCAGCTCTGCCTCTTTGTGCCTATGCGACCTTGGGGCCATCTCTTCACTTCCCCAAGCTGCAGTGTCCCCGTCTGTAAAAGGTGTCCTCAGGTTGGCATTTACCAGCCTTGCCTTGTGGGGTGGGTTTCCCTGGGAAGAGCCCGCTGTTCCGGCTGAGGCTGGAGGGGGAGGATTTGGAGAAGAGCCTGCTTAGCAATAGAAATGGTAGGAAGCAGTAGAGCTGAGAAGTTGGAGGCTTTGGGGAGTGGCGATAGGGCAGACCTCTGAGGCAGGATGCTAGAGGCCCTTGACTGGCCTGTTAGGAAGTTGGAATTTGTGTAGAGTTTGTAGGGGAAGCCGTCAGAGGTTTGCTTTATTTGAAAAGCAGAGAAGCAAAGACAAGGAGTACCCTGTGCATTCCCTGGTTCACTCCCGTGAATGCCCTTGGCAGCTGGAGCTGGGCCAGGAGCTCAGGTCCTGAACCATGACCGGCTGCCTCCCAGGGTGCTCACAAGCAGGGAGCTGGAATTAAACACAGAGCCAGGACTCTATCCTGGGCACTCAAGTATGGGATACAAGTGTCCTGGTGGCATCTTTTTTTGTTTTAAAGATTTATTTTTTCATTTTTAATTTTTATTGGAAAGGCGGATATACAGAGAGGAGAGACAGAGAGGAAGATCTTCCGTCCGATGATTCACTCCCCAAGTGAGTGCAACGGCCGATACTATGCCGATCCGAAGCCAGGAGCCTCTTCCGGGTCTCCCACGCGGGTGCAGGTTCCCAAAGCTTTGGGCCATCCTCGACTGCTTTCCCAGGCCACAAGCAGGGAGCTGGAAGGGAAGAGGGGCTGCCGGGATTAGAACCGGCGCCCATATGGGATCCCGGGCGTGCAAGGCGAGGACCTTAACCACTTGCGCCATTGCGCCGGGCCCATGGGCCATGTGTAAATGTTGACAAGTTCAGGACCCAGCGTGATGGCTTAGTGGCTAAATTCTGTCCTTCCATGTGCCAGAATCCCATACGGATACCAGTTTGTATCCCAGCTGCCCCACTTCCCGACCAGCTCCCTGCTTGTGGCAGCCGAGAATGGCCCAAAGCCTTGGGACCCTGCACCCTTGGGGGAGACCCAGAAGAGGCTCCTGGCTTTGGATCGCTCAGCTCCAGTTGGTGCAGCCATTTGGGGAGTGAACCAGTGAAAGAATCTTTTTCTCTGTCTTTCCTTCTCTGTAAATCTGATCTGTCTTTCCAATAAAAATAAATGCATCTTTTAAAAAAAGGGTTGACAAGTTGTGCAGTAATGATGCTGATGGTGACTACTTTTTTTGAGCCAGCATCCTTCTTATTTGATCTTCACAGCCGCTCTTAAAAATCTCTATGGTTAAAAAAGTCTGTATGGTTGCTAGGACTGTGGCTGCCGTGTTCATGGTTCAATAGCAGAAGCTTTAGGGTCTTCCACATGTGTGATGGATTCTTGCACCAGACTTACATGTGGGGCTGGTACATGGGATTTTGCTGAGGGGTCCAAGGGAAGGGACCTACCACCCAGCACAAGGGACTTTTGTGGAATTTCACAAGTGCCTGCAGCGATTCTCTGGAACTTGCAGGCCGGAGCAGTGCCCAATGCCTACTGTCTGTCGGGTCTCTGGCTGGTGCTGGAGAAGCTGGCAGAGTTTTCCTAACAGATCCATGCAAGGTGGGGATGGGGCAGAGTCCCCTTGAGAAGGTAAAACCGTGTGAAGTTTACATGCGGTCAGCAGATTTCTTGCTGATGGGAAAAAGGCCGTGTGAAGGTTTGGGGGCAAAGATCTGTCCTTTACTGGTTCATTTCCCCAAATGTCTGGCAACAGCCTAGGCTAGGTCTCGCTGAAGCCATGAGCCAGAAGCGCCATCTCAGGTCTGTCTCATGGGGTGCTGAGCTGTCCTCCACTGCCTCCCAGGGTGTGCACTAG